GGCAGGAGAGAGATTGGTTGTACTTGCTTCTGCCCATGAATATCTATTTACCACTAGGACGGTACGACTGGGTCGTATGTACCAACGGAATTTAAAAGCTTACAATAAAAGATAGACGGAGAATTCGCGTTCATTTTATGTCCATCTTGACAAAACATATGCACTTTTTTCTCTTAAACTTAACAGCGAGCCTAAAATAAAATCGCTTATTTCGCTTCCTTGCGTAATACTTTCCAAGACATTCTTCGGTAGCCTAAACAACTTATACCAATGCTGCCTTACAGTATTATACCGTCTATTTTCAGGTTTCGTCGACTTTGTCACTATATCTGCAACCATCCCTACTTCAACAACGTGGTTCTTGTCTGTATTTTGGTGAGCAGTGCAATGTTGGCGGCGGAGGACCCTCTGGATGCTAGCTCATACCGAAACATCGTACGTTTCGCATTGCCAGGGCCCCAATTTTTCACATCCTCTTTTGTGGTTTTGAGCTGAGATCGAAATGCACGATTTTAACTGGAAAAGCTTCGTGACTACTGCATTCTTTTCTGGATCATAAAGGACAGGAAACCAAACTAGACTTGAAATTATTTTCCCCGACTGGAGCCAATCATTCGTATGGTGGTTACATTTTCACGAAGGATGATTTAAAATCGGCGAGTAACAAAGGCCCTGTCAAAATAGCGAGCTCTTTTGGCATGATCATCGTGATACATACCCATATAGATGCAGTCCAATCAATGTAAAACTGATTTCTCTTAAGCTTGTGGGACACCGCATTTCTGTTTCAATAGGCGTTTAACGGTAGATTAAAATAATTGATTTGACCAAACTGTGAAGACCTCAATGGTGGAATCCGAAACCATGATAGTCATAGCAAGGCTTTATTATAACCAACATCCTAACCATCTGAATTTCCGATAATCTGGCATTAACATTAAGGCCATCAGTCGCCCCTGTATTTTAGTTGATCAAAGCAGCGGTTGTACTAATGCCTTGTGCTCGCTCTATTTTATTAAAATGCTATTGAATCTACCTCGATTTCCACAGTAAGTTTATTTGAATCTATCTTAATCAACATAAAATGCCTGTAAGTTTGACTGCGTTGTTAGAAAACACACACTATTTGCAAGTATAAAAATTTCAATTTCTAACCTAACTAGACTTGAGGAAAAGTACATTGTCTATTTGTTCACTGGTGGACACAGTTTTGATTTCTCGTTTTCTCAATGACTAGCCAAATTATTGAATTTTTCAGAAGTTTAAATTCGGTTCTCGTCAGCAGTAATTGAAACATAATTCAAAGTTGGATGATATAAAATAAAAATAGGTATTGTAAATTGGTCAGTTTAATCTCTAAAATAGTTTTATCTTAAATTAATTCAAACTGGTTTTGTTCCAGTTGCGAAAATTTATTTTTGATAATGTAAAAAACATTTGACGAGCAGACGCTTGCGTTCGATAAATTCTCGTCAGGCCTTTACATTTGTATCGTTATGTAATTAAGTGCAATATGTCGGTAAGTGGAACAAATTTTGCGTTTGTCAGAGTGGGGAGGGGAAGGGAAAAACATTCTTGGCATTAATCCGATCAGCGTCAGGGGATACTGACCGTCAGCAAAGGAATTAGCATTGGGCGGCTTTTGGCCAAGGTAACTGGCGCGCCTCTGTGGAGTACTTTCGGACGCCCAG